GAAATGATATTACTTAATACATTTTTTTTTCATTTACTCTACTTGGAGAATCCCATTGATCCTGCTCTTAAGGGGCCTCGGTGCCATCATGTCAGCGTCATCAGCCACATCACTGGGATTAAGGAAGAAAAAGTGAAGATAATCCTCTTCCACCCCCAGCAAGCCCCCCAGCCCCAATTCCCTGCTGAGATGACAAGCTGGTTTTAAAGAGCCAGGCATCCCTTTATTGCTTCCCCTATCAGATTACAGTCTGGGGGGGAAGAAAGGCTATTTTTAGAAGCCTGTCCTCTAAAAATAGCTCAGAGATGTTTAGAATTGCGTCACAAGAGGTAATTTTATCCCCTCTTTGGCATGAAGGGCCCCACTTCTCCCCCTTCCTCCCCAGGAGGGGGTGAATACAAAAGGAGGGAGATCTGGAGGATGCAGGGTTGGCAAGTTCAGACCCAGCCAGAGAAAAGCAAAAGAGGTAAGTAAGGGATCATTGTAAGGTGGGGAAGGAGTCAGAGGCATCAAAGGTCCCTTATCTTCCTTTATTTCCAAAGGCCAACTATTGCAGTTGGTGATGCTATTGCAGAAGAAAGGCTAATTTGGGGGAACCCAAACTCCCAGAATCCCCCCAGCCTTCATGGCCACTGACTATCCTCACAAGGGAATTCTGGGATTTAGGATCCAAAAAAATAATGCTTCCAAGTACTGGATTTGGAGAGGCTGTAGCAATAAGCTTAGGTGCTTACCTTGCTCAGTGCTGATGCTTCATAGCAATTGAGTCCCAGCAGTACCACCCAGTGGCCAATGGAGACAATGAAGTACAAGGGGACATTCCTTTGGCACCTGGGAAGAAAGGTCAGATTGGAAACCAGTTAAGCAGCTGGATTTTGCATCCCAGAGGCATGCATGGGAAGATCAAGCCCCACCAGTTGGCACCCATTCTTACGTCAGATCTGGCTCCATCGATATATGCCTTGAATACATCCCATCTGAGAGCCAGCATGGCATAGTGGTTTCGGTGTTGGACTATGACTCTGGAGACCAGGAATTCAAAGCTATAGCCGTGTTAGTCTGTAGGATCAGTATGTAGAGAAATCTTGTAGCACCTTTGAAATTAACTGAAAGAAAGAAGTTGGCAGCATGAGCTTCCATAGACTAAAGTCTACTTCCTCAGATGCATATAAAGTAGACTTTAGGAAAGCTCATGCTGCAAACTTTTTTCTTCTGGAAACCAGGATTTGAATTCCAGCTTGGCCATGAAACCTACTGGGTAACCTTGGGCAAGTCACACTCTCTCAGCCTCAGGGGAAGGCAATGGCAAACCTCCTCTGAACAAATCTTGCCAGGAAAACCCCATGATAGGGTTGTCTTAGGATCGCTATTTAGGGGGGTTGCAGACTGCCAGAAATAGTGCAAATTGAGTCCACTTTTAGGGTTAGGGTTAGTGCTAGGGAGTCATGAGAACTGTATTTTATTATGGCACTAGAGCTCTCTGACAGAGAAGGCTCAATGTCTCAGAAAAAAACAATTCCCATGATTCCCTAGCACTAACCCTAACCCTAAAAGTGGACTCAATTTGCACTATTTCTGGCAGTCTGCAACCCCCCTAAGTTGGGAACAACTTGAAGGCACACAACAGCAAACATTCCATCTGGATTATTGTAATACTCTGTATGTGGTAGAATTCAAAGGTATAGTCATGTTAGTCTAGAAAAAATCAGTATGCAAAAAGATTGTGTACATGATACCTTTGCACCCTGTATGTGGAGCTGTCTGGAAATTGTTAAAAACTTCATCTGAAATGTTGCAGCCAGAATCTCTCTTGTTAAAATAGTTTCACTCACTACCATTTTGTTTCTGGACCTAATTCAGGGTGCTGGTTATGATCTATAAAGCCCTATATGGCTTAAATCCTAGCTGCAGTGGGTATCCAGTTTCCAGGACCCCCTATAGATACCAAAATCTGTGGATGCTCAAGTCCCATTATATACACTGGCATAGTAAAACTGTGTCCCTTATATAAAATGGCAAAATCAAGGTTTCTTCTGTTCTCCTTTCATTGGCAGGCAAAGCTCTTTTATTCAGTTATGGAATTTAATTATTAATTGCTTGTAGGAAGTTTGTTGTTGTTGTTGTTGTTGTTATTATTATTATTAATTTTTATTTCTACCCCGCCTTTTGCCACAGCAATCAAGGCGGCTTACAGCTAAAACATATACAAACCCCAACAATTGACAATAATACCCCCCCATTAAAAATATATTAAATACAGTCTTTGTTAAAACCAGTTTAAAACAAATTTAATAAGACAGACAACAAATTAAATCTATAAACGCAATGGAGACTCCGGAACAGGCAGGGATGAAAAAGAGGAGAGCATCTTGTGGGGAGAAACCAATTTTAAAATGATTTTTAATTGTGTGTGTGCGCACTGTGTTTTTTACTTGATTGTTATGTGTTTAAATGATTTTACACTTTTTAGAATTCAATGTTGTTTTAATATACAGTCAGCCCTCTGTATCCACAATTGTTTATCCACAGGTCCCAGCTTAAATATATTAAATATACATATAGAAATACCCAAAACCAAATTTTGATTTTTGCCATTTTATATAAGAGACACTATTTTACTATGCCATTGTATTTAATGGGAGTTGAGCATCCACAGATTTTGGTGTCTACGGGGTGTGTGTGTGTGTCCTGGAAACAAACCCCAGAGGATACCAAGGGCCTACTGTAACGTTAATTTTATTTTAAAAAAAAATATTATTAGGATTTTGTTAAGCTTTTTCATGTTTTAACCTTTTTTTGTAAGCCTTCTTTGGGACCATGCGGAGAGAAAGGTAGCATACAAAGAAAAGAAAACAAAATAAATTTACCTTTCCATCTTCACATCAGGGAAGAACCACTGAAGAGTTAATACAGGCCATCACTGTAGTCCAGCCTTGACAAGTATGCTGGCACCCTCCAGATGTGCTGGGCAACAATTCCCCAGCAAAGCTACTGAATGATGGGAACTGTAGTCCAAGACATCTGGGTTACACCAGGCAGAGGAAGCCTGCTACTAGATTCTGGGCCAAGTTAAATCTTAGCACTGATTAGATTCAAGTCTGTCTGGAAGTCTCTCTTTTCCCTGGAGACTGGCCTTTCTTCTACTCCAGATATTTAAGGATTGGGGTATAGTTACTCAATGGTAAAGGGAAAGCCCTCTGTTAAAGGGAAGGCATGCTCAAGGGTGCTTTTGGTAATCACACTTTATAGGATTGACATCTACAGAATGCAGAGATGGTACTTTGAACTACAACTTCCATTACTCTCTGGCTATCATGAAGAATGTAGTCCAAAAAGTAACATTTCCAAGCTGTGGCCATCTGGCCCTTAAAGAAATGCAACTGAGCCTTAGTACAAATTAGTGCATGCTCAGGTATGAATGCTGGAGTATCCCAGAAATAAATGTCTCCCTCCCAGCAAGCATTTCAGAATAGAGTATCTCCCTTTTAGGGATCCTTATTTCCACACTTTTTAGAGCATCCTGTATGTGATGCCCCTTCTTTCTGATTACCAGTCCCTGAATTGTCACTTTTTCTGGAAACCTGGCAACTATCCTGATGATTCAAGGTTCTCAAAATCAGTCATGAATAGGGCTAGAATAGTTTATGCACCAAAAAAAATGTTAAAGCTGCAGCACCTTAAAAAATGGCATTAATATTTGACCCTCTACAGGGCTGACCTTTGAAAGACTAGTGCTGGCTACTGAAATTTTGATGTTGGCTACTGAAAATTTAATGGCAGTATCATGTCCCATAACTGGCAGAGATTTCAATAAACTTTTTACTTTAAATTCATAAAAGGGACTATAAGGCAATGATGATGAGAAATTGGTCAATATGTACTGAAGAATTATATACTATGCAGATTTTTCTGAGTAAGCAATATATTTTGTAACATATAAGTGATTATATTAACATACTAATGATCAGTTTTTAGCATCAACTAAAGAGTTATTTATTCACTCAGAATCTAGGTTTAATTTGTGCAGCTGCTCTTTTCAGCAGCATATGGGCTCTCCTCATTTTTTCTTTGTTTTATTACAGATTGATTGTATGAATTTATTGTGTTTATTAATACTATGCACCACTTTGGGATTGTTTTCATAATAGAAATTACAGCTCAGAAAAGCAACTAGGTGGGACTACAATTGCCAGAATCCCCCAACAGCACGGCCTCTGGAAGTTGTAGTCTGAAATTGTAGTCTTAGAAAGAAACTTTTTCAAGTTTATTTGAAACATGGGTAATATATTCTAAAAGTAGATTAATTAAATTTTGAGGTGAGAAACAAAGAACAAAAGGCCAAATTAGAAGTCTGTCGCTGATTTTAATACAGGCAAACATGGGAACTGCAAAGAAGTATTGCAGAGTGGAATAATCCTGTTCTGCGCTCCAGTTAGTCACTCATGCCTTTTTCCAGGATATTGCATTTTATTACAACCATCCCTATTTTCTGGGTTTTGTCCCTCTGTGCCCAGTAAGCACACTAAATCCTTTACAGGGCTGTTATCAGATTTCCCTCAGTTTCCCACCACCAAGATCTCTTGAATTTTTGCAAACCTTGAGATGCTCCAGACCTGCTACTACTTTCTTCTTGTCTGTGAACGGTAGCATTTTGGGCTATACAAAAATCACATTCAAGGGAATGGGTTTGATATTTTGTTGTTGCTATATGTCTTCAAGTCGTTTCCGACTCATGGTGACCATAAGACAAACCTATCACCAGGTTTTCTTAGCAAGTTTATTCAGAGCGGGGTTTGCCATTGCTATCCTCTCAGGCTGAGAGAGCGTGACTTACCCAAGGTCACCCAGTGGATTTCCATGATCTTAGCCTATATGAATAGCTACTATAGGATACCAGTATGGTGCAGTGGTTTGAGCATTGGACTATGACTCTGGAGACCAGGGTTCAAATCCCTGCTCAGCCATGAAAACCCACTGGGTGATCTTAGGCAAGTCACATGTTCTCAGCCTCAGAGGAAGGCAAAACCCCTTCTGAACCAATCTTGCCAAGAAAAAGTCATGATAAGTTTATCTTAGGGTTGCTATAAGTTGGAAACTACTTGAAAACACACAATAGCAGAGTGGCATTTTCATCCGGATTCTGGTATATGTGGAGGAGGTACGATATTAGCCTACTCCCTAGCCACCCTTGCCATAGTTTCACAGAAAAATTACCCACCTGCGGCTTTTAACTGCAGGATGCAAACTCTCACTGGAACTAATGAGAAAATGAATTCAATAGTTTTACTACTGAATGCCTTTTAAATGCCTGAATCCAACTGTATCCATATCTGGTAATTTTCTTTTAATGTTCAGATGAGGGAGAATATATCTCACGGCCAAAATAGACATTACGTGTTCATTTCTTGGCTGCAACAACGCCCCCACATCTTCTTCCTTTAAAAAATAAAAGCAGCTGTAAAGAGAGTTTGGTTTGGCATGGGGCCATGGCATCCACATCTGCGAATGTCCTCTCTCCCCCTGCATCCTACTCTTTGAATATAGATATGGATATAGATATTGATACTCAGGTGGACTCATGCTCTGTCCTGAAATGTAATTTAGTCTTTGCTCTGTCTATATCCTCCTTTCCAGAGGATGCTCAGAGGATGCTTCCAGATGACATATTTATTATACAATCCCCTTGCTGTTTGAGGAATTTTGTGGTGATGCTAGTTCGATAATGACTCCAGATTATGCATCTTTCAGTCCCAGACAAGACTTTTATCACACCCTCCCCTTGACTCAGTCAAGTAATTAGTTGCCATTATAGTTCCAAGCCTCCAATAGTAGTTAGCTGCTGTTATTGTTTTGTAGCTGATGTGTGCTTTCAAGTGGTTTCCAACTTATGGTGACCCTAAGGTGATCCTATCATTGGGTTTTCTTGGCAACATTGATGCAGAGGGGGTTTGTCATTGCCTTCTTCTGAGGCTGAGAGGGTGTGACTTGCCAAGGTCACCTAGTAGGTTTCATGGCTGAGCTGGGAATCATACCCAGGTCTCCAGAGTTGTCCAATACTCAAACCACTGCACTACACTGGCTCTTGCTGTTATTGTTACACCTTAACAATAACTATTTACTTCCCAGTTTTTCAAATGTAACCAAAATATAAACCTTTTTCTACTTTTAAAATTTTTAAATGCTATGAGTTACTACCTTGGGGTACAGAACTCCTCCTGTCCACTTAACTGTTGCCTCAGTACACACAAAAAAGCATGAAGTAGGAGTATTTGAACCATGTGATATTCCTCTTCCATCATTGAATCAGGCCACATCCTTGTAATAGGCTGAGAGAGTGTGACTTGCCTAAGGTCACCCAGTGGGTTTCTATGGCCAAGAGGGGATTCAGACCCTGATCTCCAGAAGTGTAGTCCAACTCTCAAACCACTTCACTACACTTTTATTAATCATTCAATTAAAAATGGTAATTTATACCAACTACATGTCATTAGTTACTTCCAAGCTCTACCTATTCACTCAGTTTCTATGGCTTCGGAAGATGACATCCTCTACTCCCAGCCATAATTTGGTTTTCTACTGGCTCTTCCATCTTTTTTTCTTACTGCGAAAAAGGACACTATAGCAGCACAAAGTCTTCTAATTACTAGCAAGAAAGTCATACATTCATCCTAAATCAACCTCTGTCACCTTCATTTGTCTCAACATTTTCTTCCCTTTGCAGAACCATGACCATCCTCTGTGAGAACTGCAACAAGCCAGTTAAGAGGACAGAGAGCTGCATCTTGAGATGTCCCACTGCTACATCTGCCTCCAGAAGGGAGCACAGGATCCCAAAGCCCTTCAGGTAAGAGATCCGCCTTAGACCTTTTCCCTCGTTTAATTTCTATTAACTTTCTCAGAGCAAAAAGCCTCCGTAGGACAACCGATTAGTTGCAACTTTTCCATTGGCTTAGTGAGGTCAGGCTCTGGCAGAAAAAATATATTAAATTATCTTATTCCAAAACTAATCAGTGTTTTGCTTTCATTTAATAACAACCTGTTATCCAACTGCTCATTGCCTGCTATCTAGCCAGAGAGCTTACTGTGTGTATATTCAGTTATAAGTCTAGATGTGGTGCTGGAGAAAAGTGCTGAGGATACTGTGGATGGCCAAAAAAGCAAACCATTGGATCCTAGAACAAGTCAAGCCTGAACTCTCCCTGGAAGCCAAAATATTGGGCTGTTATACTTTGGACACATCATGAGAAGGCATTAGTTTTTACCCCCCCCCCCAAAAAAAAGTTGCCGGGGAAAGTCGAGGGCAATAAAAAGAGAGGAAGACCTCAAGCCAGATGGATAGATTTAAATCAGGAAGGTCACGGACCTGAGTTTTCAGGACCTGAGCAAAGAGGTAGAAGATGGGGGGCTTGGAGACATCTCATTCACAGGGTTGCCATGAGTCGAGGTTGACGCGAAGGCAGCTAACAACAATAATAAATGTGTCTAGAAATTTTAGTCAAAAATTGACCCAAAAAACCCTGGTTGACTTATTTAGCAGGTTGATGTATGAGTACATAAATACATGTATATATGTACGGTATGCAAGTACTGTACTTTAACTCTTATTTTAAAAAGGAACCATCCCATTCTCTGAGTAAAAATGGCAAAAAGCGAGCTCTTAGTCCATCCTGGGAGCACCTAAAAGAACACTAACAGCTCTTTACTCTCTTGTTTATCCAGTCTTTAGTGTGGCATGTTATGCATGCTGGAATTTTGTAAATTCTTTGGCATAATTTTCCTTTGCTTCACCCTTTACATCCTTTGTTATGTACTCCTAAGTTTTACTCTCAACTTATCCATGGATCATATCAAAATCCATAATTTTGGAACCCAAACCTGCCATTGACTTACATAAGGTTGACTTATAGTCAAGTATATACAGTACATTTAAAACAATACAGAACTGCATCCACTGGATAAAGCACAATGTCTTTCACAGCAAATGTGCTTCAGATTATCTGGTAAGAGTCTCTCACTTCCAAACCAACATCCAGAGATTTCTGCTATGACTAGATTTTGATGGCTAGTGAGTAAATACTATTAATTCACGATAGTTTCTTAGGGCTAGCACAGCTGCAAAAACATCTGCAAAGCAATTGCTTCCTCTGTTGGAATAAGACATGTTAAACCTCAGATGCCAAGAAGAGAGCAAAGTGCTGCCAGGCTTTTCACTTGTGGCAAAGTATCAACTGGCAGAGACGCTGGTGTGGTGCTGAAGGCAGATGAATCATTGTGGTGGCAAAGACTTGCATGGCCAGACTCCAGACTGAGGCTGCGAAGCTATCCATCTCCAGGTTGCACATTCAAGGAGCATTTCAGGTTGAGTCATAATGTTGAAATTGCAGGATATCCTTTCTTCCTTGCAAGCTTTTAAGAAACTGGTTGAAACAACCTCAGCCGTTTGTTTCTGTGGTGTAGTAGCTGGAAGCCAAGATGACAAAACTGAGGCTGTCATACTTCAGACACATCATGAGAAGGCACGACTCATTGGGAAAAACTATAATGCTAGGAAAGGTGGAGGAAAGGAGAAAGAGAGGAAGGCCGCATGTTAGATGGATGGACTCTATTAAGGAGGCCATGGGTATGACTTTGCAGGAGCTAAGCACAAGGGTGGTCTTGGAGATGTCTCACCCACAGGGTCACCATGGGTTGCGATCAACTCGAGGGTGGTTAATAACAACAAAGCTACTTAAGTATGATATGGGCCTTCTCAAAAAGCAAAGCTAGGTCTACTGTTGTATGGAGTTATGCAGCTGCATCAGACAGCAGATGCTAGGAGGTGACAGTGGGATGCAAGCAGATTGCCATGTGCATGCAATGATGCTATATTCTACCAGCACAGCCCCAAGCATGTTTGCTCAAAAGTCAGCGATTTACACCAATTGAACCTACACCTTTGTCAGTATGTTTTGTTTCTGAGGAAAATCAGATGCAAGATAAATACACATGATGATCTATGTCCAGGTTTACTATTTATGCAAACATGGTGGTGCCTAGATTGAAGGCTCTTTCTCAATATATAATTATAGTGCTGTATTCCACTTTAGCTTCCATGGCTCCTGGGATTTACAGTTTAAGGAGGAGAATTTAGAGTTCTCAAACAGATAGCTCCAGTGCCTCACCAAACTACAAACCCCAGAATTCCATAGGATTCATCCACGGCAATTCAAGTGGAATCATAGTGCTATAACTGTGTAGTGCTAAAGGCTCTGGCATGAATGCAACATCACTGCAACAATCTGAGAAGACGGTTATGTAAATGGTTAGTTAGCTAAGGGATTACTGGCGTTGTAGACCACAAAGTAACCTTTCCTATCTCCAGTTTCACGTCTTAGGCTGCATCTATACTGCAGAAACAATGCAGTTTGACACTGCTTTAAGTGACATGGCTCAGTGCTATGTAATTATGGGAACTGTAGTTTTGAGAGATAATTAGCCTTCTCTGTCAGAGAGCTCTGGTGCCACAACAAGCTGTAATCCCAAGACTCCACAGGATGGAGCCATAGCAGTTAAAGCGGTGTCAAACTTCATTAATTCTTCAATTTGGCAGCAGCCTTAGAACAATGATCCAACCAAAACCAAATGTTTTCATCCATGGTATGACTGGCATAAACCTTTCTCCCTTCCCTAGCAGTTCAAATCAAGTTACAGAGGAAAGGCATTGTTCTAAATGAACTGAATAGAAAGACATATTCCTACTAAGTTGAGAGGGATCTGTTTCTAAATCAACACATTTAGGATGTAGAATTCAAAGACATAGCTGTGTTAGTCTGGAAAATCAGTATGCAAAGGGATCTTGTGGCACCTTTGAGACTAATGGAAATGAAACTCTGAGGAAGCAGGCTCAAGTCTATGAAAGCTCATGCTACCAGCTTCTTTCTTTCAGTTAGTCTCAAAGGTGCTACATTTAGGATATGTTATAAAT